TGTAACACAGACTAAAAGATACTCATATGTAAAACAATAGGAATTAGTGATAGCAAATATTCTTTAACCGTACTTTGAACTCGGCGAGAGAGGAACAAAACATCAGAGTCTGGTGCAAAATCAAGATAGTTTTTGTTAGCTGAGAATTAAGTGACAACGAGTTTATATCAATTGTGAGGTACTTCCACCGAGTTTATACTGATGTTATATTTATAGATGAAACATGGTGAAATCGAAATTCGAGTCCCGGTATAATGGGCGCCGCCATGTTATGTGTGGACACCAAAATCAGCGGTTAAAAATTGGGACTTAAACTGGACAATGGGTGCACTTGTACCATCCGTTATTACCACACATTGATTGTAACAATCAAAATGCATCTGTATGTTCTCGATTACGAGTATGTCTTGACGAATTTTTGTTTTGCATTTTTCAATCTTTACTGTCTTCTTTTTGTCGGATTTGTAAACAGGAAACGTTCATATCATTCCGCATCGAATACACATTATACTCAAGTTCCATTTGGAAAGAATATGCTATATGTTTAAATAAAATAGGCCATAAAATACCATTAATATAGGAATAATTTTATCGTTACAGGACTAGTACAAACAAACAAGTATTAAAGAAAGTATTTCATCCGCGGGATTACTTCCGGCAAGGTACATTTTAAAATTCAAGTTTTCAACAGAGCTCTCGACTATTTTCAAGATGCTGATTTTCCTCTAATAGACCAACAGGAATGAACATAGTTGTCATAGAAAAGGCCAATTTCAAAATATTGTTTACATAAAAGACCAACGTGTTGCAATTTAGATATAAAGGAAATATATTACGAAGGTAACTAATGATTTTCTTGATTTTTTTTTACTCCCAAATGTAAGTCAAATTAAACACAAGTTGTATGGAAGCAGAGAGGAACCCCAATTCCACGACACCGTGTTTATGCTTTAACTCAATTTCAGTAGGAACAGTATTTGAGCTTGCTACCCATCCATTTTCTATAATTATAGACATATTCATCCAACAGGAAATACCCAAACAATATCCATTTATACAATTTTGGCGTGTAAAACAAGGATATCGAATATGTTACTGACAAGGTACACGCATCATGTAGGCTAGTGATGTACATTGCATATTATTACAGGCATAACTAACTATGACTGTTGCTGGCAGGGTGAAACAATTTATTACATAATACGTCATAGGCTTCAATATGTATAAGCAAACAACTAACAACTCATTGGAAATCCAAACGTAGATTTGGTTTACCTGGTGGCAAGTATTCTGTGCTGCGGAGCGGAGTAAACGAAACTCAACTTCAGTTGAACGTCCCAGGTATATATTCAAAGCATTTCTGTCTAACTATGCGTATCTGCCGGCGTCGAATTATCAGAAATTATAAATTCAAAGCCAAACCACGTCCTTTTATACAGCATACACGTAATAAAAGTAATGCAACAAAACACAGATTCAGAAAATTGCCAAATGGACCCTTCTATTTTAAAATTAGTAAAATAAAACATGTCAACATTAACGGTTACAGAATGAACTGTTGCCAGAATGTAATGAATGCTGTACCTAAACATGGTGTGCAGTGTGATAACGCTAAGCAGCTAGTGCTGAACAGTCAGAGCTTAGGACCTATGGACTAGCCTGGGTTGTGTTACTGAAATGTTGTGGATGTAGTGAAACATTTAAAGACAAAAATGCTTCCTAAATTGTCAGCATTTTACTCCAGTGTTTTGTTACCAGAGTTAGCATGTCCGTGCGTAGGCAAAAGTCCAGGAACACGAGAACCTGGAATTCGGATAGGTTTGTGTTGGAAAGAACTACATGTAACTGTATAACATACAAGTTTCTGTTTCCATATAAATTCCAATCTGAATTTCAACATGAGTATCACTGTGATATCAGCGTGGTGTCAATCATTTTAAATATCTCTTTTAGGTTTGTGTATTAATTGAGTCTCTATTTGATGAGCTAGTAATTTAATAATAAAATTTGTTGAGATACATACACACTAGTAGCAGTGGATAGAATAACTGTTTTTAGATTTGTGAACCTGGGAATAGCTGAATCAAAGCTTATCTTTTCCTTGTATTTTTGTATCGTTTCAGTATCTAAAGCAAGAAGGAAGCTGAAGAAACCTCAGGGTAGAGGGAATAAACTCCAAAAGACGACCAAAGTCATTACCCCCGTAATCAACAGTACGTGTTCTGCTATTGAAAAGAGGTATTTCTAATATTTACTATGATGGATTTGATGAGTAATTTTTCAGTAATTAATGACTAAATGTGTGGTTAAATGATGATACTGTGTACATACTAAATGTTTTTTTTTTTATTGATTTCAGTCTGAAAAATTAGTGTATTTGGTGATTTCTAAATATTGTGCTTTTTAATTCTACTGAAGACAAGAAGAGCTTATGCAATGTCTGTCTGTCCTTCTGTCCGTTAACTTACAGTTATTATCGCTACTTCTACTAAATGATAGGCCTTAGAGACATGTGACCTTTACCATTATACACATGCTACGACAAGTACTTGCAAATGAGAATGGGGGATGGTCTTACAGAAACTTCAAAATTGTATCACCAGTAGCGTGTCTGTTTCATCAGAAAATTTTGATGGTCAAAATTATGTCTAGAAATTGTGAATGTGCAGAAAACCAAGTGGTCACTAATGAATGGGCCATATCTGAAATTCGGTGTTTCATTTTTTCAAGAAGTGTTAGGTCCAAAGGGAAAATTAAATTCGTTAGTGGGCGTATATCTCACCTATGGATCACTGATGTTTTGAGTGGAAAAACGTCATGATTCAAGGTAAATGTGCTTCCAGTAGTGTCTGGTTCTGATGGTGAACCCAATGCAGAATATGAGATTGTACATGATAGAGATGATGAGCCATACACTGTTGACAATTTGTACAAAGACTACACAGACAACCTCGTCAAATGTATAGATCTATAAGGTGCGACAATTTTTCTACAAAGTTTTGAGTTAAGTTATTAACTTATTATTTCAATAACAAAATGCGTGTTCCACTTTTATCTCACAGGTAATTATATGAAAGACCTATTGTGTTTAACGTCTCTTTCAATGGGAATTACACCATTGACTTTAAAGTCAATGCAGAAAGTGCTGTTTACTTTGGTGATAAAATAATATCACAAAGTTAAATTGTCTTACAGACCTGTCACTGTATTTCCATAGCAAAGTAGGTACACAATTTAGGTGCATTTTAGTACCGTAACTACAGTATCAGTTTCTCTTTTATTTATTGCAGGATGGGAACATGTTTATTCTCCCAGATGCATACATGTGTATCCTCCCAGTGAATGAGGCATTAAAGACAATACATAGGCAAATTATTTATATATTTATGTAGAACGCCCCCATATCTTCTTTTTCATTTGTATGTTGCTTATCTATCTAGCTGGTGCCATTTTCTGTAACATTTTTTGCCTTTCTTGAATATTGGATATATAATACTGACTGCTTTAAGGACTTGGGTATGACAATCATGTCATTCACTAAATATTACGATGAATGTATATACATAAAATTTACTACAATGAGTATATAATTATCGTTAAACATTTCACAAAAGTAGGTAAAAAGTATGCAATTTTGATTATGACTGCTGTGTGGTCATATTTTCATAAACCTAAAAATATAGCAGATTTAAAATAAAATCTTTACCAATTATAATTATCTCCCTTTACCTTCACTCGTAGGCTTCCTTTCTTTTAAGAAAGTAGTTCCAAAATGGCCTTTAGCTTCAGTGAAAAATTAATTTTGCAAGTCTTGAATAGAGAAATACTATTTTCAAATTCCAATTGGAATTACTTTTGACTGCCCTACTACCTCATACATGTTGTAACTTATTATTTTAATATGTATTTTTTTTCAGATTTAACCACCATATTGATTGTTTGGAATTTTTCAACAAGATCTCAATCCGAGGGCAGCACAAAGTTCCAGAACCTATTGGGAAGCGTTTCTTAGTATTATGTGTGTTCTGTACCTTGACTATTTTGGTATGCTGTTTGTAAAAAATCAGTTAAAAACATTTTCTTTTTCAAGGATAAAGATACAATTCCTCTTCCTTGGCAATTTTCATAACTTTGTCTTAAATTCAAGCTATTTTTTACCATTCATTTGGTATCGGAGGCGCGCCCATTTTAATGCTTCGGTGGGCAATGGCGAATAAGTTTGGGATGTTGCAAAAGTTAAGCCAGGGTAAAGTCATCATGAAGAAAGGTTCCCCCTTATTAATCAATCAGTTCATGCGTAGGAAATTAGGGGATGAAGTTGAGAAATGGTAAAATACGGTATTTTGCACTTCTTCCCCTTGCCTCAATCAAGGATACCGATAGCCCGGTCTTTCTTCTTCAGACAGTCACGGCATTACTTACTGGATCGTTTTACAAAACATCCACATGTAGTTATATATACTATTATACTGAAGCCCATTTTATTGTGATATGCGCGAGAAAAGTAAAATATATCTCTTTGGAGCTATCGGTTGATCGTCAAAGTCCACGCATGACAGATTTTAATGAAAAGACTGATACCCAATATACATATCCCTACACTAGCTACCTAAACATCATTTTATAATCGACGGTATTCTGGTGTAAATGAGGGTAACATAATGAACTATCTTACTTGTTGTATATAGATGCGTGTCTGTAAGTTTTTTTTGCCAGTGTTTGTACTCTGTTCCAATATGATATCTGTTCTTGTTTATGTGTACATAAATACATCCTGAGTAACAGGTGTGTGAATCAAACAATACAGGTGTGTGATCCACCTGTTACATATAGGTGTGCTTAGAAATTACAGTGTGTATTCTATGGTGCGTGCTTGAAATTGACTTTTAGTGCAGTCTACGTGGTCTGTAATAAAATGAACATTTGATTAAAATAACTATGATAAAAAAGAGACACATTTATTCTCGGTAAGTGTGGAATCCTATGGATAAATCAAGATAACACAACTTGTGGGGTTTATGATTACGGAGTTTTGTGTAGTGAGCGACATAACACGACTTAGTAAGTAATTGTATAATTCGACATATATTACACACAGTAGAGTGGTGCGTGTGTACGCATAGGTTTATAACCTATATATAAGCCAGTTTGTTATCATGGTAAGATGTTTAACCAGTCACACGTAGGAAGATGTCCGACTTCAACTCCCGGCGGTCAGCTGTCGTCTGCCGTAATGGCTGTGCGGCCAGTAGCCAGCCTCTGGCCAGTCAGACGGGGATAGGTGAGTACATTGTTCAAGTAAACGACACATGCACAGTTCAGCTGGGTGATGGCGTCGTGTACAGTACACTATCGTAACCAGCATATGTAACATGGCCATGTATGCGTCGTCACTCTGTCGGTATGTCAGGTGTATCTACCTACACTGATGTGGACTACAGGTACATGTAAACAACAACATTGTATAAACAACCAAGCTTTACAGGTTACATCCCCCTGCGCCCTCCCCCTCCCCCTCCCCCTCCCCTTAACCTGTTCGTTAACAAGCTCAGGGGCGGTTTCAATTATGGCAGGGGAAGGGGTAGCTAGGCGACTTGTTGAATTTCTTATCACAGTACACATATCACGAGGTGGATGAGGGAGTATGCGTGTATGACCCACTCAATTCAAATAGATTTCTTTTAAATTTGTTTTGTCTTTGTCCTATTCAGTCTTAGAGCCTTCTGATGACTTCTTTTAGAATTAATTTCAATACCTTTTTACGTCTTTTGAATTTTGGCGGTTAATATATTGATACTCTGTTAAGATATGAATGAATGCCCGGGATACGGCGAACCCGCCGCAAACGCTAGGAGACTCGGAGTTGGGGTGGGATACAGCTCTCGCTATGACAGTGAGCTCTGTCTTCCTTCTGTTCCTTACGTGATCAGATGTTGTTTTTATATCGAAATGATTATGTGCTCCATAAAATGTGCTCCTGGGCATTAAATCAGGGTCCGAGGTGTTAATCTGTAATGGGGAGTCGGCAATATGTTATCCGTCGACCGTTGATCAGGTGCGCGCGTGCCATTGGATCGTTATCTTTGATGTTTACTGGCACATACGTTGATTCCTGCTTCGATATCCGAGGGGAGTGTTTGAAGGGTTTCCAGACTAATAAGTGTGTTCCCAATTATATCTTCTTAATATGTCTTTTGTCGCCGATCACTCTCTCCCAAACTTCTAGCGACGTAGCTCTTTTTGAAATGATTTGCCAATCGAACGAACAAGGATCTGAGAATGGGTTACAGTTTGTATGTTAATACATATAGAGAGTATTATAGGCTGCGTTATGGTTTTAGATCTACCTGTGATACAACACTGCCCTAGAG